TTATTATAATATAAATTTATTTTATAATTAGATTGTAAATTATTTTTATTAATTAACAGTATTCAATTATATCTTTACTATAATTAGTTTAGAACAAAGTGAAGGACTATATATATAAGTCTAAGATAATATAAGGCAGTGTTAGATTTTGAATACATTTTTTGATTTTAAATATTTTGAACAAGATTTTGGACATAGAAAATGTGTTTATAACCTATTTATAACTATTAAAAATTATCTAATTTCCTAATACTAATATAAGGTATTTTGTTATCTACTGTCAATAAAGCAATTGATTAATCATAATGAAGTCACGTAGATGATGCAGTATGACGATTTCTTAATTCAGAATTCTGAAAATACTGAAAATTCTGCGAATTCTAAAAATACAGAAGATTTACGTAATTCTGAAGATCTTTCAAATACTAATGATAATTCTAATTTTATGAATTAAATGAAGTTTAGTGTTATACTTATTTTTAATATTCTAAATTTTATTGTTATTTATTATATTTTATAATTTTATTATTTTACATATTTTTATTATTCTCAATATATTTATTTTACTTATATTTTATTTTATTTTATTAAATTAGTTAGTTTATAGTATAGTAATTAGTTAGCCATAACAAAAAATTTTGTATAAATAGATAGACTTTTTGCTTATATTATAAATTAACTCTCTTGTGAATACGAGTTTCAATATTAATAAAAAAATCATTTAAAAACTTATATATTTCTGCCTCTTCGTATCTTCATATAGTCTGACGTAATCCCTATACATTATTTTTAATTGAGTTTATCATCCAGATTCTTTAATTAAATTGTTCATAATCTCATCTTTCAAGTCTTTATACTTGATAGATTTGTTTAAGTCTAACGCGTAAATTTAGTAAAGTTAAGAGTTAGACAAATTTTAACATCTTAATCGCAATAGACCACAGTTAGAAATTTTAAGTAAAGACTTAATAATGTGACCACCCTGAGTTAAAGAATTCTATGGTGATACTGCCTACTTAATAATTGAGTTGATACTGATTAGTTTTTATAATTACATAAAAATTTAGATAAGCTTTAAACTAAGATTATTAAATAAAATTTAAAGATTTTGCAAATTATCTAAATAAAAAAAAATAAAAGTAAGCAAAATTTTATTAAAATTTTATTAAAATTTTACAAAATTTTGGAAAAGTTAAAATTATATTAAAGCTTATAAAATATAAAACTATATTAAAACCTTAATAAAATATTAGCAAAACTAAAGTTTAGATATTTGTCAAATTTAAAATGAGTTTAAACAAGTAATCTTATTTCAGACTTAATAATAGTTTTATTTTTTTAGTTTAAATTTAATTAATATTTAATAATTAATAATAAATAGTTAGTAAGTTATTTTTATTGATAAATTATATTTAATAATATTTTTACTAAAATTTAAACTTAACTAAATTTTTTATTTTAATAATTAGATTATAAGTTATTTTTATTAATTTTTAGTATTTAATTGTATTTTAAATTTAATTAAATTATTTATTTAAATATAATATTACTAAAAGTAAATTATTTTTATTAATTATTAGTATTTAATTTTTTATTTTAGTAAGGTTATAAGTTATTTTTATTAATTATCAATATTTAATTATCTATTTTACTATATTTTAATAATTAATAATATAATAGATAGTAATTTATTTTATTATATATCCTTATAAGATCACACTATATATATTTTACGTTTATTAATAACTTTATTAGTGATATAGTTATTTTTCTTTATTTATAGTCATATCTTTCAGAATTAAAAATAAAAAGTGTGATTATAATAAAAAGTTACTATATAGGAGGATTTTTGTATGTTATTATTAAGTATTAGTTTTATAAGAGTATGATAATAAAAACATTATGATTATAAAAGGATTTTTTATATAATATTAATAGATATTAATTTTTATGAAATGTGTACTTATAATGAGAGATTTATATAATGTAATTGTATAGAGGGTGACTATAGAGAGAAACGACTGTATATATAATAAATAAATATTGTCTTATTATATAAATATATTAATATTATTAATTTTTCATACTATTAAAATTGAATAAATAATTATGAAATGTAACTTTAATATTAGTTTATTTAAAAAGATCTAAAAACTCTTAATATCAACATTTAGGTTAGAAATATTTTATCTTCTTAAAGTGATATTTTTTTTTTTTATATTAATTTGTAATGAAAAATTATTTTCTATCAAAAATTCAGATAAAAATAAATATTTAAAATATTTAAAATATAATATTAATAAATAATATGACACTTTTAGTAACTTGTAATGCAGTAAAAAAGCTGAATGTTAAAATTATATCAAATATTTTACTACTATTTTGCTTATATTTATTACCTGCAAATCAGATTTGTTTATTATTGATCATTTAAGTAATACTATATGATGTTAAAGTATTTTGATCTGTATACAAAATAAATTAATATATAATTATTTTATATAAAACTTGATAATACTAAACATTTTAAAGTTTTTTATTTGATTACTCATATAACTTCAATCTACTTATAAATTTATATTAAAATATAAACATAACTTTAATATCTGTAAAATTTAACTTTTTAATAAAGATTTATATTTAGAATGGTTATTATTTTTTCTCTCTAACAGAAATTTCATATTCAACCATAAGATTATAAAGAAATCCTTGTAATCAAAGTTTTCCTATTTAATTTTTCAAATACTATCTACCTCATAAATATATACTAATAATATATAGTAATTAAATTAATAAATAATATTATTATTAAATTTTTGATCATTTTCATTAGTTATTTTCTGTAAATAAAAATTATTCTTTGCATTAATAGAATATTTAATAAAGAATAAATCATAATCTGAAATAATACTTAGATAATCTAAAATTTTTAATTTATCACTAGAACTATTATTTAAATTTTCAAAAAAAATTAAAAATTAAAAATAAAAAAAAAAGAAATTCCTTATTTTATCTTTGATTGAGTAATATTTACATCATAATCTTTATTATTCCATTTATAAAAATGGTTAAATTTTAATTTATAATGCTTTTCATTATAAAGACTAAAAAAAAATGCATTATAAAAAAAGATTCTTTTTAAAGATCCTAATAGAATTTCTTAAGTAAATATAGAAGATTGTAAAATCTGTTAATATTCTTTAATAGTAAAAATTAAAAATCCTTTTTTTATATCTTTACTAACTTTAGCTAATTTTTTTAATTTACTATCAAGTATTAAATATAAATCAGAAAAATTGCTTTTAATTAAATAAATTAACTGATTGTAATTGAAATACATATTTAAATATTAATTTAATATATATATTACATTAATTATAGATGATGTTAAATATTCTTCTCTATTTGTTGTTTCATTACTTTAATATAATCAGATACCTATTTTTTAAGTTTTTTAAGTTAGTAATATTCTCGTAATTATTAGCCAATCTAACTGTTTCATAATAATTTTTAAATTTTTTAATTCAGTTGTTTGTTAATAAATAAGTATTTTTAATAATTGACTTTTATTTAAAATATTCTTTTTGCTTCTTTGTAGGTTTAGTATAATCAAAAAGATAACTAAAAAATATAAAATAAATAATTACAAATATATAATATAATTAAATAACATATAAAACAACCAATACTAACCTTATTTTTTATAAAAATTTCATGTTAAAATTTGAAAAAAAAAGTATTGTAGAAAAAAAAATATTAAATTATTAAAATAGACTATAAATAAATTAATTTTATAGTGTGATCGTAAGAATCTATATAATAAAATACTTATTGTATAAATCTTTAGATAGTACTTTACTATTTTTGATTTTAGCAATCTGATGATCAGATTTCATTACTTATGTGACATAATCTGAGTCTATCAAATGATCTTAATCAAAAATAACATATTATTATTTAAATATTATACAATGAGTATATATTATTTATTATTCATCTTTAATAATATTTTATATATTAAATAGAAATTTAGTTAAGTTTAAATTATAATATAAAGTATAATTAAATATTTGTAATCAATAAAAATAACTTATTTTCTTTAATAATATTTTATATTTTAAATAAAAAAATTTAAATTTAAATTTAACTAAATTTTTTATTTAAATAATTAATAACATTAATATAGAATATAAATTATTTTTATTAATTATTAATATTTAATTATAACTAATATTTAATAATTAATAAAACAATAGATAGAAGTTATTTTTATTGATATTAGTATTTAATTATACTTTTAAACTCAAATTTAATTTTATTTTTAAAATTAGATAAATAGTAATTTAAATTTACTTAAAAAGAGTAAATTATTTTTGCTCTGTGTTTGTCTCACATGTGATCTTCCAAATAAGTATTATTTACGGTTGATCAAATAATTTATAGTGACGCTTCTACACCTAGTTATATTTTCTAAAAATTTTTCATTCTGCTTTTTTTCAAAGTGTCTTTCAAATTTTCTTTCATGATGGAATGCTTTCTTAAATCGTAAGTACCTTGCTTTGTCTTTTCCTGACATATGTTACTTATATTATTTATTCATTATAAAAGGCTCATTTGTAAAAGGTTCATCAAGACATTACAAATAACAAAGCTAATAAAGTTATCCATATTCTCGTTCATTCAATCCTTCAAACACAAAAACATTGAGAAAAATTTTAGGTATGTGTCATTGAGAATCTCAGAATAGATTATAGTTACCAATTCTTATATACTTATATGCTTCATTCTTATTCAAATAAATTATGTTAGATAATACGCCTCTGCAGGATTTGCAAGAAAAAGTATTAAAATATGTTCTTCACAAAAAAATGAAACATTTATGTAAGCTTACGAGATAAGCAAATAAAATAGGTGTTAATTACAAATCTTATTTCACGAAGTGCACTAATAAGCCTAATTATATTGATATGAATATTTTTCTTAGAAATCATAAGAAAATGATGGAAAATTTAGATCAAAAACAACATCTTATTAATGTGTATTTGCTTTAATCTACTTTTCATAGACCGTAAATATTACATTACTCTTCTGATTCTCAAAATGTTCTTTTTAAAATGGCTGCTGGTTTTGTTAAGAGCATTATTATAGATCACCATTTTTAGATGAAAATAAGAGAGCCGTTCACCTTGCTATTGACATATTTTTATCACTTAATAGTTACTTACTAGATGCAGATGAAGCTTTTGTTACTAAAATTATACTAGAAGTAGCAATAGGTAACGTTAATATAGATAGGCTAGAATGTTAGATTGCAAAGAATGTGAAAAAAGCATAATAGATTAGTTCAAAATTTTATATATTTACTTGATAATATCTGCATTAGCGTAGATGTCATATTTTTTACTGCATCAAACATTATAAAAATAATGAAGATTTTTTCTACATCAAAAAAAATTATCTTATGTTCTTTATATATTCATATTTATAATAACGTTCAACATAAGCTTTATCTTTTTAACTATTGTATAATACATGCAAGTAGGAGACAAATATCATGAAGAATTCTTCTTAGAATTTTGAAAAAGGCTAAGTATTTATTTTGTTTTGCTCCAATGTATATTCAAAAAAATATATTAATACATCTAAAATCTTAGATTTAAAAAAATTTGCTTATTTTTTTTTTTAGCAACAGTATTTTAGTATTTTATAATATCAATATAGATGTGCTAAGAAAACAAACCTATCAAAGTTACCAAGACTGAGACCAGAAACACTATCTAAGATTCCAAGATTCATAACTCCTGTGGTTTTGAAATTAACAATTCCATCATTCAACTAAAGCTCAATATTACTATTACTAATTATAGTAACGCAGATAATTAAGAGTAGTATTAGATTATTTGTCTAATTGGACATTTAGACATCCAATAGATATTCAATTGGACATATGTTCATAATGGCTAATAAATTAATTAAACATATAAGAAAATGTTCAATTGATATTTATTTAATTTTTTGAAATTTAGTGAATTAGTTCAATCAAAAATACAATTTATTTAAAAACCTTTAATATGCAGTTGATTAGCCTATTTTAAAAAATAAATGATTTTTATTTGATATTTTCCTATTTTCTTTTGATTATTCAGATTTATCTACAAATTAAATAAAAAAAATTTATAAATAATATGTATAGATTTTGATTTATATTCTACTTCTTGTGGCTATTAGAATCTTCTTTAGGTTTTTGAGAAGGGTAATGTTAATATGAAATTCAAAGTATATATATCTGATGTGGGTAGAGGCAATCGTATTCCATTGAGAACTGTAAGGCTTTATTAAATAAAGTACCCCACTTGTTATTAAAATAACCGTCAACTAAACATAATTTGAAAACTCGCTCTAATTTATGCAGAAGTTTAATATATTTGTAGATCAATTTGAGCAGTTTTAGTCTAAGATTACGGGTATAATAAGAGATGTGTTTGTTCGGTATATATTTTAGTGCTGCATCTATAATGGCTTTTTGGAGGAGATTCCATACAATAATACTCTGAACAGTTTAGTTTAGTCTGAATTATAGGCCAATCTGAAACTGAACTGAAAATTTCAGTTCAGTTCAGATTATAAATTTTAAAAATGCCAATCTGAAATCAAATTGAACCGTAAACTGGTAAAAATCTGAACTAAACCAAAAATTTCAGATTAATCTGAAATTTCAGATCGTTTGGAATGATAATTTAATCATTCTAATTGAACGATTTTCTTATTGTTAGTTTGGAATGATAACTTCAATCGTTCTAAATGAATGATTTTCTTATCATTCGTTTAGAATGATAACTTCAATTATTCCAAATGAACGATTCTTTTATCATTCTAAACGAATGATAATTTAATCGTTCCAATTAAACGATTCTATTATCGTTCATTTAGAACGATAATTTAATCATTTCAAACGATCTGAAATTTTGAATTAATCTGAAATTTTCAGTTCGATTCAGATTTTTTTCAGTTTAGATTAGATTTATAATCTGAAAAATCTGAACCAAACTGAAAATTTTCAGATTGAAATTTTTGCAATCTGAAACTGAACTGAAGTTGATCTGAACTGAAAATTTTCAGATTAATCTGAACTGTTCAGAGCTTTACATATAAAGTTAATTTTAAAGATATTAGAAATACTGTTCAAATCTGTGGAAGCTAGTCTTGACTTTTTGCAATGAGCGTTTACAGCATCAGCAAATATAGACCAATCATCATCGATCATGTCATGATATGAGAAAACAAGTTTTTTCATCATCGAGATATTGTTAAAATTCAGATTAATAGAAGCTAAAGTTATAGAAGCGGAAATGATACAGTGATCAGACAATGACGTATCTACTGGAACAACTTGATGGTCAATAAAGTCTGGAATTAAAGAAGGAGCAATATAGATGTGATCAATCCTTGAATGTGAGAAGCCATTGACATATATATGAAGATCATTGACATTTCTGGTTGATTTGAAAATTGTTGTTTGCAATATGTTCCATAAAGCTTATTGAGTGTGAAGGATTGTGAGATCTCGATAGGTCAGTATTAAAGTTTCCTAAAATAATGATATAACAATCAGTTTTCGTAGCTTCATCTAGGAGGGTACGCATCTGTCAAATAGTTTTTAAATGAAGAGGCTCATCAGAACATGATAAGTAAATGTTAATAATACAAAATTTATTTTTATTTTTGAATTGAAAATCAAGGCAAAAAATTTGATTAAAAAAGGATGAGTGATGAAAAATATGATCAGCAAGGTATTTTCTAATAAAAAATTCAATGCTAAAACCTGAGCGTCAAGTATCAGAGTCTGTGGAAAAGAAGGGTATAAATTTATTATTGCAAATGGATTTGAGAGGGAATTGTTCAAGAGGTGTAGTAAAATTGGTTTCTTGTAATATAATAATATCTAAATGGTTAATGGAATAGAGATCAATTAAGAGTTGTTATTTATGTGGGTTGAGTAATGAACGAGTATTATGGGTTGCAATATTAAAGAAAGTAGGATAAGTTTGATATTTGTGTGATTATTTTATATATTCATAAAGATGATTAAAAAAAGAGATCAGGGTGGGTTGATGCAGTGTCATCCTTGTTTACCCATATTACACCTAGTTTGTTTAATTGGGAAATAGGTATACAAAGTGATTCATTGGTAGATCTATATACAAATTTTTGAATATGAGCAACTGCTTTGAGTACAGAATTGAGTTTTTCAATATTTTGTTTATTATTTAGGCGTAATTCCTCATTTTCTTAAGCAAGCCATTAGATTTTTCCTTCATATTCTACAATTTTGGATTCAGAGATATCAACACCCTCTTCATATTGAGATTTATCTGTCTCTATATCGGTCTTGCTTTTTCCTTTATTAGCAATGTTTAGCTTAGTGACTTTCTCAGGAATAAGAGTGAAAATATTTAAATGTTGTTCAACAATATCAAGACAATGGATTGTAAAAGTGAGATTTGTATGTATTTTGACAAGCGTTTCTGTAAGCGCATCTAATTTTAGCATTATTTTAGTAGCATCAGATAGTTCTCATGCAGATTGGTTATTACATTATTGCTATGGGAAAAGATAATTGTCCTCAACTTGATCTGACCAGGATTTGTTAGCATGAATCGAATCATCTAAAGATGATGTATTATTATTTTTATTTTTGTTTTTATTGTTATTGTTTTGTGTATTATTGTTGGAAGGCAGTTTAGAATGAACGGGAATAATAGGGATTTGTTCAGAAGTAATACGTTATAATGAGTATGATTTGCAAAGGATTGAGGATTTTTTGGATCAAACACAGTATCTTTGTTAAGAAAACTTTTTTAAGCAGACTAGCTATCATAAAACTGATACTGGATCCCGATTCTCATCTGCGTGACGATTCTAACAAGCTAAATTTCGTTCAAATCAGACCATTCGATCAGGAGTTATCGCGTAGCAAAGATTGGTATTTTACTATGAAAAAATAAGTCTAACCAATTTTATATAGTAAAATGCCGATCTTTGCTACGCAATAACTCCTGATAAGATGGTCCGATTTGAACGAAATTTAGCTTGTTTAAATCGTCATGCAAAGGAGAATCGGGATCCAGTATCAGTTTTATGATAGCTAGCCTGCTTAAAAACGTTTTCTAAGCTCAAAAGTCATTAAGTACTATTTTTAATGTAGATCTTTATATTATATAAAATTGGCATTATTAATTGGCTAATAAATTTTTATAGAATGTTTTCCAAAATGTAAGGATTAAAATGAATCAAAAATTATGTTTCTAGCATTTGTAGTTAATAAGTTATAAGCGTTTAAAGCTAAAAATAAGTTGTTGCGTTTTTTTTGTCAGCTACTGTAATTCTCCATTTAAAATCTTTACTATATTTTTTAACATATTTTAAAAATTGCTTTAATAATATTTTTTCTGACACATATATATGTTGTATTTAGTTTGTGTTTAGTGTATTCAGTATGCAAAATGATCGATATTTTTATATTATCAATATTTTTGAAAATGATAATAAATAATAATATTATTAAATAGATTTTTTAGCTAAAGTGAAAAAATGTTTATTTGTAATCTAGTAAGAAGATGTAGATATTTAATACATTTATGCTTATATAGTACATTTTCTCATTATAAAATTCCTGTTCCTATTTCTACACATTGAAACTTATTATTTAAAATGATTAATTATATAAAAACATCTTTACCATATTGAAATTTCTTTTTTAAGATGAATTAATTAATGATCTAAAGAATGTAACTCTTTAAAATATTTTACAAATCCTTTCTAATTCTCATAATGTTAGTATTTCAATTATTATTTATTTTATTTCTATATATGCAAAATTATTTATACAAGATAATGATTTTTTTTCAAATACAAAACAAACTTATATTTTCTTTAGTAGAAGGATGCTTTTATCATCTTACTGCATTTTTAAAAGCAATAATAATTCTTTAAATTTTGGTTTAGAACTTAATACTAATATTACTTCTTATACAGTCTCCATTAAAAGTAATGACGAACAGTTTTTTTAACCTTATACATGTAATTTTATATCACATATAGGTAAATTTTTTTTAAAATAAAGATAAAAACAATATTTATAAATTTTATTAGATAATTAATATGTAGTGTGTCTTCTATTTGCATCAATACATGCTTGAATTCGATTAGCATGCTATTAATACAGTTAAGTAATATTGAGTTATCAAGATTATCCCATTTCTTCATTAAAAAAAATTTCATTTGAAATTTTTTTTGTGCAACTAATAT